CTTCTAAAAGATATAAAGCTTATTTTCAAACTAGTAATTTATAAAAGATTTTGCATCATTTTAAATCAATATCCTGAATCCTCTGGTTCTATTATGAGGGTCAATCAGAGCCCCTCTGGTTCCTTGCAAGGTACAACCAGAGCTCCTCTGTTCCTCATAATCAATGCTTTTACCCAAAACATTTTTATTCACAACCAACCGTCATGAACTATATTATATCCAATCCCATAAAATCATTACCATCATTTATACTAAAGACAACATCTCTAAATCCTCATATCACAAAGAAATGAGAACTTAAATTTGTTGTAACTTTAATAGATATCATAATAAGAGTTAGGCCGCACTGACAACGACCAACCTTATATCCTCCCAATAATCCCCTTTTTATGATGTTCCACCCTTATATCCTCCCATTAATTCATATGAAGTAGTTCATCCAAAGACAGACCTCAGTCATATATGCAGAGTGAACCTGTTCATAATTTCCAAACCAAATCATGGTTTCAACATAGGTTTATACCTTAAAAACCTTCTATTCTCAAGAACAACCTGTTCTCCCAAAACAGTTTAAAACTTTGTTTTTCTGTAAATTTCTTTCAAACTGTTTAAAAACCCAGATACTGTTTAATTCTTTCCAAAACAATCCCAAAAATAGATTCGAACAGCAACTTCTCAAAGGCTGTTGACGAATACGACTTTGTTTCATATTTATCCAGAAATATATTCCAAAACAATAACATCATAAAAATTGTTAAAGATAATTTATTATCTTAACCTCAAAACCAATATCAAAACTCAACAGTTGATACACAAATATATGAGGAATTTAGTTTTAAAACCACTCACCTTATCAAATAGATTTCTTGATGATAATCACACAGTAAAAGCTTTATTCTAACACAGAATCTTCAAGTACTTTTGAAGCAATAATTCTTGAAGAACACCTTATCACACACACACACACACATGTTCTTTTCTAAAAAGAATGACAGTGATAAGGATAACCTTATCCAAACTTTTCTTTAAATATCCTCACCTAGGCGGTGAAGGATTTTAATAATATAAAATTAGATATGATGGTGTGGATTTTATTATTTTAAAGACCTATTTGCTTCATTACTAAGGTACCACTTTCTTAATAAAATATTCATATTATCCAAACATGTATGCATTTATTTCATGTATCATGTATTGTTGCCATATTCATGCGTACCATCTTATAATTTATCAATTAATCATGTAAAATTTACCTTGACCCAGGTTATCTGAAACCAGGTTATAACACGGTTCTTTCCCTTTATCCAAGCTCTTTGTTCCTTTCACCTTTTCTGCCACTATTTCTTTCTTACTGTTAGAAGCATCCCGATCTTCCATCATTTTTGCAAACATTTCTTGTTGCTTACTCATAGCAGCTTCCATTAATTTCATCATATCTGACATGATAGATGCCCTAAAATTCACTTCTGGAATATCTGGATTTTGACTTGGGGTTGAACTATTAACCTCCTCGCCATCTCTTCTATCTAATGGATGATTTTCGTTTGAATCCATATCGAGTTGCTACATATTCATAACAGATAATCAATATAAAATCCAAATTCAACCACATAAACTTCTAATTCTAAGCAAATAGTTTACATAACTATACAAACCATAGGTTTAAGATTAGGTTCTCTTAACCAAATTCTCTTAAACCTTTGCTCTGATACCAACTTGAAACACCCTCTACTTAGATTTAAAAAAAAATTGGCAAAAATTCGGCATGACCCGTTCGAAAAGTCGTGTTTTGCCA